AATTAAAAACAAGGACAACACATGAAAAAATTTTGATTGTAAACCCAATTATTAAAAGCTGTTTTGAACAGCAATTTCCTCTTAGAAATATATACCTGACAGCAGTACTTAACATTTGTACCATATCTTTCGAACATACATCATAAAGATGAGTAGAAGCAAAAGAGATACTTGTATCCTACACCCAAATAGAGAAATTTAGTAAAATATCAGAATAGATTTAGTTATACTGCTCACAAAATCAAATAAAACTAAGATTTAGTTATACTGCTCACAGAATCCAAATAAAACTAAATTCTAAACAACTTAATACTTTTCAGAAGGGGCCTTAAATTAAGATTTGGAAATTAGGGTCAGTGTTGTGTATCTAAGAAAACTACAATTACATGCCAGTGAGAACCCTGGATTTTGGAAGATGTCAGATTATGTTGAACAGAAGTTTCACTTCAGAACACGCTTAGCAACAGTACTTAAGCCCCATACTAACTTGACAAGGACAAACAGGAATTAAAATATGATCATGCCTCAACAACCAGGCTTTTTAAGTTCATAAAATATCCAGTATGAGTACAGAACCGCTTGTTAAATCATCCATCAAGATGCAGCCGCTTTTAACAGAACAGCTGGTCTGTCTGTAACTGTTTGTGTTTGTTGGTATATTACAGTTCAAGCCTTACCTTTCAGTCCTAACATCCATGAATGGATAAAATCTTTATTACATTTGATCAGTTTGTAGTAGATTTAGCACATGATTGCTCATATTGCTAACACCTTATCTTTTTTTTCAGTCATTTGCCAGTCAAGTACTGTTAACACAATGAACTCAAAAACAGAAAAAATACAAAGTAAATCACTATACCAAATTAAAAGACAATTTTTGAATCCTTGAGCCATTAATCACGTCTACTAAAAATACCTTTGAAGTTTCCAGTGTTTATTTTAAACCCAGAGGCCAAAATCAGACTGTGGATATAGCTGGAATTTTTAACTTATAAATCTTTCTCTGAGGTCAATATTCCTGACTTTTTTCCCAATTTTCAAAAAGAGTCAAGCCGCCATCCAAGGTTTACTTGAAATGGAATAACTGAAATGGTTGTTTGTCATCATAGCCTTTTAAATTGCAAGGTTCTACTGGATGATGGACACTGCTGACTTTTGATCTGTTTTTGGTAAGCTGTTGTAAATTGAGGTTGGCTGTGCTTGAACTTTCAGGGTTTTTTTTTTTTCTACTCGGCATTTAATCCATGTAGAGCATAAGGTGTTGTTCAGGTTGAAATTACCAATTATCTGACAACATTAAAGGAAAAAAAAGTTTACCTTAACCAGTTAGAGTGAACATAGCATGATAATGCTAGATCTTGATAATTTAAAAAATAACCCTGGGGAGAGCAAGTTGAATTACATCATTGAATTGTATGTTGTTCGAAAGACCTTCAAAACAAGCTTTAAATCAGTTATAATATTATTCTTGTAGGGCAATCCCATATGAATAAAAATAAGGTCAAACATTATTGACACTACTATCTGACACATTCTCACTTTGTAAAGCATGAGTTACACAGATTTCTCAGTAGGTGTTTGCTCTTAGTGTGGAACATTTTTTCAATTGTAAGTGGTTTGTGCTTCAACAACACCACACTGTGAAATGTTGACTTGTAATGCTTTTTGATAATTTCAAAATAGAATAGAAATTATTTAACTATTTTAAACTAAAATATATGTTTGGAAACCCTGGATTCTCATCAGATTTATATGATTCATTAATCATGTCTACAAAAAATACTTTAGAAATTAGCCTCATTCTCAGCACACCTAAAATGTGATCTGGGATATAACTCAGAAAACATTGGGGTTAGAAACCTGAACTTTTACAATTTGTAAGTCTCTCTGTTGTCCACACTTTTTTCTTATTATTTTGACCACTCAATCCACCACCTTTCTAGACTTGATTCTGTTGAGTTTGAATCATCAGTTTTCTTCATGAACAAGTTACATAGCTGAATAAAACTAGTCACAAATGTAATTATGTGATTATTTTGAGATAAATAACGTTTATATTCTTGAGAAATGATAACTTAGAGAAGTTGTTCTGTTGAATTGTGAAACTTATCAATGAAACTTTTACATTACAGCTTAATTATTTATATTTTCAATAAGATAATGAGGTTGACATCACCAGAATTTAGCAAATCCTAAAAGAAACCCATTAAAATTTCAGTATATAACAATGCTTTATCTCTTTTGTAACATTATCAGAACTGACAAAGATAAGTTTATAATTTGTTTTAAATTAGTTGATGATTTTCTTAGTTTTGAAGAAATTAGAAGTAGTCTTATTTCCCTCTGAGTTATTTCTTGCTTAGTGTGCTCACAATATTTTCTATGTTTAGAATATATCACAGCATTTGCATGGGAGCCTGTTGGTAGTAAGTTTGCTGTAATCCATGGGGAAACTCCACATATCAGTGTCAGCTTCTACGGAATCAAGGGAGGAGGCATCAGCTTCCTGAGTAAGTTTGATTTAATAACTGCTAATTTTTGTAAATTAAGAATTGACAGTAATCTTTTTGCTATTAATCTTAATTTAGTTTTATTTAATGATTTAAGAAATAAAGAATTTCCATATTATTTTAAATAAATAATTTTAATACAAGCCCAATTGAAATAGAACACTGAAACTTTCCACAAATTAGTCACACCTATTTTATAAATCATTTGAAGATACTTTTATGTATGAAGTTTTTAAACAGCTATTTGTGGGATAATAGATTTATTTCTATAAGGAAATGAATATATTATCTCACAAATAGCCATTTCAAAACTTCAGATTATTTGTAAGTTAATGAGGTACCTATTGAAAAGCAACTAATTTTAATTATACATGTTGTTCAGCCATCCAACTTAGTTGGATAGGATTTTTTTAAACCATTTTTTAGGTTAAGTATCTTGAAATATGATTATAATAGACTTACCCATAATTCTATAAGATATTCAAGACTTTGTAAAACAAATTATATGCTGTTCTTTATTAGTTATTTCATAGGAGATTGATCTATTGCTTTGGATATTTTAGTGGGAGAGAAGAGTTAGGATGAAAAATACAAAAATTTGAAATACTGTGTGTTGTAAATTTGAAGCAGTATTTTAAAAATACAAAAATAGATATATTTCCTCATATGGTGTGTATATATATATATATTGTAAGAATGTTTTTCTTGAATATCAGATTTAATAATTTATATACAAAACTAATTAACCCAATTGAATACTTGAACAGTAAATTGTTAAAATTGCAACTTTTTTTCATTATATGTCAGAAAATCCTGTGTACATTTGAAAAAGGCAAATTTAAAGTGTAAGTGAATCATAAATGGAAGTAGGAAAACTTATGCTGGGAGTCTATTAAACTTTTTAAGGATAGTCTTTCTCATTTGATGTCAGAAAGTTATTCTGACGACTTTTAGCATTATATACCATTTATTTAGTATATTTCACAAAGAAGGGCCTGGCATGGCCAGGTGCTTGACTCACAATCTGAAGGCTGTGGGTTCAAATCCCCATCCCACCAAACATGCTCACCCTTTCAGCTGTGGGGGCATTATAGTGCGATGGTCATTCCCACTATTTGTTGGTAAAAAAGTAGCCCAACAGTTGGCTGTGATGACTAGCTGCCTTCCATCTAGTCTTTCACTGCTAAATTAAGGATGGCTAGCACAGATAGCCCTTGTGTAGCTTTGCACGAAATTTAAAATAAACAAACAATTCACAAATAAATAATTAAATTATAACAGCGTTCATTTCTCTACAGCTCTGAGGAATTTTGTTAGCAAATAATGTATGTATTGATTTTTTTTTTTTTTTGCTCATCCCAGAGCTTAAGATTATTTTGCTAAGAAACTGTCATTGTATGGAAATATAATGAAGTATTTCAAATTCGATGATGAGGAACCCACTTTGAGACTAATAATGGCTGGAGACGGCTTGAATGGGTAATGAAGAAAAACTTTAATATAAGTTTAACATAACAG